TGGTGGTGGGAACAGGAACTGTCCTTTGTGTCGGGATCCCTGGTTCTTTTCCCACCCTCAGGCTGTTCCCTCACATGCGTGCGCTATGTATGGCTCTGGGGGGCCGAGCAGGTCTACGTCTCTTGCACGTCTCTGCAGCTCCCTCCTGCTCAGTGCTGGGTCCTGGAAACTCGGGTGCCCCCTGCCCCCTGCCCCCGCCTCTTCAACATGGGGAACTGCTGGGCTCTGCCTGCGTGCCCGCCCTCTCTCCTGCAGCCTGGAAACTCCAGCCAGGGAGCTGGGGCAGCTGTGGGCTCAGCTCATCTGTATACCTCCCCCGAGAGTCACCGTCCTTCGTCGCCTGCAGTGGCCCAATGTCTGGAAAACCATCATTTCACGTGTTCGGTCTGGACGTTCAATTGTCATTGGCAGGAAGGCGAATCGGTCCCTGTAACGCCATCTAGGCTGGAACCCCCTGAATTCATAACTCAGTTCTGCGGTGTGAACGAGTCCACTAAGTTAAAAGCCAGTGACCAGGTAAACACAGGATTTCTCTCGTGTCTGTCGACGGGGGCCCAAGACTTCCCTGCCTCCTCCATTCTGCCGGACTTTCTGTTTGGTTCATAAAGACAAGATTTGTCTTCATGAAAGGGTTACTTGTTTAGTTTGGGGTTTTGGCCCTGGACAGGCTCTTCTTAGTATTGTTAAAAAACAAAACTTCAGCCCTGGCTGGCGTAGCTCAGTGGATTGAGCGCGGGCTGGGAACCAAAGTGTCCCAGGTTCGATTCCCAGTCAGGGTACATTCTTGGGTTGCAGGCCATAACCCCCAGCAACCGCACATTGATGTCTCTCTCTCTCTCTCTCTCTCTCTCTCTCTCTCTCTCTCTCTCCCTCCCTTCTCTCCCTAAAAATAAATAAATAAAATCTTAAAAAAAAATTCAACTGAGTAAATTTGGAGATCTAATTAGCTTTATTAGGCAATTTAGTGTCCCATCTAGCAACTAGAAGGGGTCTCCAGGGGGCTGTACAAAATGGAAGGTTTTTAAAGTTTGTGGGGGGTTTTGTTTGTTTGTTTTTATTTGTTTATTTTTAGAGAGGGGAAGGGAGGGAGGAGAGGGAGAGAAACACCAATTTCTCTCCCTGTGGTTGCCTCTCGGGTGCGCCCTCTACTGGGGACCTGGCCTGCTGCCCAGGCATGTGCCCTGGCTGGGAGTTGAACCCGTGTCCCTTTGGTTCACAGGTTGGCACTCAGTCCACTGAGCCACCCCAGCCAGGGCCAAAAATGGAAGGTTTTTAAAGGAAGAAGGGTGGCAGGCAAGGGAACTATTAACAAAGGAAAAGGAAGGATAGTTTTTAGACGAGAACATCTTCGAGGGGTGGATGGCAAGGGTTTTACCACGCACATCATCTAGTGCCTCTTCTTACAGGGGCCACCGTGGAGCCGGCCCAGGTAACATAACACCTTGCTGGTGCCTGACCAGAAAATTCCAGACTGGGTGACTAAGGTTGTGTTTGTGGGAGGGGTTTAAACAGCAATTAGATCAAGTATTAAATCTAGGTTTGGTATCATGGGCTTTTAGCACCAGTGACACTGTTTTGGACCTATGATTTTTCTCTTTAACAGGATTAGAACTCCTTATTTGCGAAGCAGCCCCCTTGTTGCTGACTATGCTTTCTGATCCCTCTGGGTTTCCTTTGTTAAAGGAGCCAGTGACCCGGGCACACAGAGACACTCATAAACTGAGGAAAAAAGAAACTGAAAAGATGACCAGATGAAGGGCAGGCTACAAATAAAAGATCATTGGGGGCAGCGCCCAATTTAAAAACAAAGGAAACAAAGCAAAAAAACTAATCAGTTGCATGAACTCACAGTCATTTTCTAGACAATGATCATAAAATCCCTAACAGTTACGAGAGAATGTCCGAAACCTGTAGAAAAGTTTTGTAAGAGTTTTTTAAGCCAACTTTTTGAGGACATGCCCGGAAGCGAGTGTTGAAGGGATTGAGAAAATGCTCCGGAGAATTGCAGCTTCACAGCTTATTTTATACACTGGAGTCCAAGACAAAGGCCTGGAGAGGGTTACACGGAAAACGCTGGGGGCAGATTAAGGAGGCGGGAGAAAGCGAAGCCGGGCAATCTCAAGGGTTGGATAAAAGGCAAAGTGGAGAAGCACATACTTCTTTTACATTGGTGGGACGGGCTAGTTAATAATTCACACCTACAGCACACAGAGATGTTGTGCGGGCAGCCAGATGACAGCGAGGGGTTCTGCGGTCTGTGCTCTGGTGCCAGCGTTTGCCGCCGGGGGTCTGGAGAAGAAAATTACTCTGACTTTTCAAAGACATATTATCCTGGATGTATAAGAACAGTGGACAGGGCTCACTTAAGCTTAAGACTGACCTTTGCTCAGGAAGCTGTAGGTCTGGGCATGACTACCCGCCATGGTATGCCCCGGTTCAGACTGTTGGTGCGGTTACTCTGGGTTGCTGAGATTGTCAGGTTTATTGACAGAGCCCCTTTTTGTGTGGTTATTGAATGCTCTATGTTCTGTTCTAAGAGCCTTACATATCTAATTTAGCCTTTAACCAACTCTATGAAGTAACAGTATGGTTCTGTTACTATTTCCGTTTTGCACAGAGAGGTAAAGTAACTTGACCAAGATCACACAGCTAGTAAGTCATGGCCAGGACTTGAACCTGAACCTGGGGTCTGGCTCCAAAGACTATACATTTAATCAACATACAAAACTGCTTTTATTTAATTAATTAATTTATTTATTAATTTATTTATTTATAGATTTTATTTCTTTTTAGAGAGGGAGAGAGACATCAATTAATTGCCTCTCACACACCCCCAGCTGGGCACCTGGCATGTGCCCTGACTGGGAATCGAACTGGCGGTCTTTCAGCACTCAGCCCACTGAGCCAAACCAGCCAGGGCCCCAACTGTTTTTAGATAAGGTCATTCTTAGCTTGGCCACTTTGCTGTGCTGTGTGTGTGTGTGTGTGTGATAATTGCTATATGTGTGTGAGCCTGGTCATACATGCTTGATTCAGTTTCACATGATATGAGGATGTTCCGTGAAAGTAAACCTTCCATCTGCCTTTCTCCCCTCGAACCCCCAAGTTCCCTCCCTGCCCCCAAACCCTCTCTTCAGCTTTAGCGTGTCTTTCCAGAGATGCCCTTCATGTGTACAAGCTCAGAAATCAATGGCCGCGTACTACCCCGTTTCTTCTGCACCTTGCTTTCTCCATTTAGCAGGATATTTTCAGACCATTCCTTTAGAGTGGTAACTTAAAAATAAAAGTGAGAGACGCCAAGTGTTTATCCGAGATCCAAAGGAACGGCTATTCGGAAGCACTAATTCAGGCAGAAACCCAAACAGTGATCCGATTAGGAGGTAAAAGCAAAGGGTATTTACGAGAAAGGGAAGGAGCATGGTTACATGAATAGGAGGAAGGCATTTCTGTGGGCGCTAATAAGCCCAGGAAGGAATTTCTAGACCCGCAGATAAACTTACACGCTAATTCTACAGATGTCTTTAATTTTCGGTCAGGCAGTCATAACATGTAGTTGTTTGGAATACAGCGTTGCTTTAGGCCCAGCCCGAAGGTTGATTTGCCCAGTTTTACCATTCTGAGGGTTTGAGGAGTGAGACCTGCAAGGCAGCCCCCTGGGGCGGCAGCCCCGCCTCCATTGGGAAGCCGCTTCATTTACATTGTTTTCCACAAAGTAGGTAACGAGCTGCCGTATCCTTTGGAACAGCTGCCTAGGGTTCCATTGTGTGGGTGTGCCCTAGCTTATGTCCCCACCCCCCTGCTAGAGCACTCCACGTTGTTGCCAGACTTGGGCTGTTAGAAACAAGGCTGCAAAAAACGCCGGTATATTTGATCACACACGTGTCGGGTATGTGTGTATGCAGCTTCTCGAGTGTGCGAATGTATCTGCAGGACAGATTACTTACCGGTGGAACTGTGGGACTGCTCCGTCAAAGGGTTTGTGGGTTTGTTTTTTTTTAAGCTATTATTTGTTTTCAGAGCGATGGGAAGGGAAGGAGAAAGAGGGAGAGAAACCTCAGTGTGTGAGGGACACATGGGTCAGTTGCCTCTAGCAAGCCCCCAGCTGGGGACCTGGTCCGCAACCCAGGCTTGCGCCCTGCCTGGGGATCGAATGGGCACCTTTCGGTTCTCGGGCTGGCGCTCTATCCACTGAGCCACACCAGTGAGGGTGGGTTTGTGCTTTTAAAACGTTGGGAGCTGTGACTAAATCGCTCTTCAGAGAGGTTTTACTGACGTGCAGGCTCATAGCAGCACATAGAAGAAGCATAATACCCTTCCACAGTTTGTTAAACTCTTTTCACGTTTGTGTTTTTAAAATAATGGTTATGAACACTGCATCAAAGGGTCACCTTCGTGAGGGATGGCAGTCGTGGGTCCCTGCTAGTAAATGTGTCTGCTAGTAAAATAAGCAGCAGTTGAGCAACGATTCATTCCCTTGTGTTCATAGTCACTTACTCACTTTAGTCTGCAGGCTTAATCTGTGCCTGGTGCTGGGCGCTGGAGGGAGAAAAATCTGTGGCTTGGTCCCTGTCTCCAAGCAGCTCACCGGGAGAAGTAGCTATGCTATGGTGTGCGTTGTGTTACACGTGGTGGGAGAGAATGGGATCGTGGATCAAGGGGAAATGTTGCTAGGTGTCTTGGGAAACGTTGTCAAGGACTCTTGACCATGTAAAACTCGATGGTGAATGCCATCCCAGAAACAACCCGGGAGAAGAGGAGAAAGTTGGGCTCTTCCGAACGCGCGAGCTCGGGCTGCGTTCAGCGAGCCGGGAAGCTCATTCGGAGGTTGCCATGGGCACCTCCCTGCAGAAGTGCCGGGCTGCAGGCAGGGAATCGGCTGCCTGTGATTGGAGGGATGTTGCTGGTTGGGATAATGAACTTGGTAGTGTCGGCAGAGGTGATTGGCCGCGCCCTGCTGCAGTGAGAATGCAGGCTGGATGCTCGGGTCCTCGCTTCTGTGATGATCATTAGTTCAGCGAGGACAGTTGAATAATCGGGAGCTCAAAGTTGCTTCTGCCTCCGGGAGAGGTCTGTTGGGCGACGGCTTTTTTTTCTTTTTTTGAAAAAGGCAAACATTTGTTAACCATCCACCTCCAGAAGTGAGTTTTTATTGAAGAAGCTCCAGCTGCTCCGCACTCGCTGCCAGCAAGCCGGCGGGGCTCTGGGAGAGGGAGCTGTTTCTCAGGCCGGGCACGGCGGCGGTGCTGGCAGGTCTGAAAGAGCAGGAGACAGCCGCTGCATGCCGAGCTCCCGGCCCTGCAGCTCCCCGGGCCGGCCCTCCCAGCGGCCGTGTAGCCAGCGACCCTTGGTATTGTGGTGACATTCCTCCTCCAAAGTGACCAGTCACCGTCAGCGACGTTGGGAGGAAGGAAGCCGCGATGCTGCAGATGCTGTGGCGTTTTCTGTGTAGCTTTCTCCCTAGGGCCGGGTGCCAAGGCTCCAGAGAGGGGGCCGATAAGGAAGTCAGAGGCAGCCCGGCTCCTGCTCGGGGAGACCAGATGTCGAGCTTTTTGGGGAAACAGGACGGCAGGGCTGAGACCGCAGAAAGGAGACCCACCATTTTGCTGGTGGTCGGACCTGCAGAGCAGTTTCCTAAGGTAATGGCAACCTCAGGAGGCCCCCCCCCCCCAGTGGAGGGACCGGTCTAGGAACATTTTCCTGGAAAAACAAAACTGGAGTGTGGGGAGGAAGAGCGGAGTTGTGAATCAGTCTGTGTGGTGCTGGGGGTGGGGAAGAAGAGTTAGACAATAAAGAAATGGAAATCTGCAGCCCAGAATTTTCCCGTGGCTCCTGTAAAAGCTTTACTGTCCTATTACGACCACTTCAGTGTGGCCACTGGGGCAGGAAGGTGGAAAGTAATGGCCACTGGGGAAGGTGGAAAGCAACGGAAGATTTGCCTTTGATTTGATTTGTCAGTTTGTCCCCAGAAAGCCATCGGAAAGTGAGGGACAAACAACTGCAGCCTGTCTTATGCCTCAGCGTATCTGAATAATTCAGGGGGGGCCGAGCTAAGCAGGCCACAGAATGGACTTTCAAAGTTGAAGCCCACAGCCCGGAGCTGGGCAGGGCCAGACCGCCCTGCCTCCGGAAGGTCAGACCCCTGGCCTTGGGGGGCAGAGGACCTTTGGGTCTGGAAGGAAGGGGGTGGTCAGAGGAGAGGCTGGAGTTTCGGGGTGCAGAGGCCCTTGCCTCTCTTGGGTCTGCGGGTCTGCGGAGTGCCAGGGCCCCCCACCCATCTCGTGTCCTGTGTGTGGGTTATCGTCTGATCTACACAAGAGCTGGGGTGAGTGGTGGCACCCCCATTTCATAGGTGAGGAAGCTGAGGTGCGGCCGGGGTAAGTAATTTATTTGCCCAGGGTTAAACCGCTAAGGGGGGGTGGAGGTGGGGTTTCACCCTAGTCTGTCTGGGGCTGCACCCTGTGTCACCTCGCTTCCCCTTGAGAAAGCAGTTTGTATTGGGACCAGCGGAGTTCCCAGGACTAGGACAGAAAAGCTGTGGGGCTGAGATTTACCCAGCGTGCAGTAGGCGTGACCTTGTTCACTTCCTGAGCTTTGGTGATTTTGAATCTCCTTTCTCAGGATAAAAATCAACTAGAGAAGGAGATTCGACCCTGTGTCCAGCAATAGATTTCTAAAAGAAAAAAAAATGTCCGTTGAATTGAATTGCTACATGTAAAAGATAAATGTTTAAATGTTTGTTTTTCCTTGGCTAAGTGGGAGGGACCTTGGATGCAACTACTTTTGCTGTCTTTTAAGATGGAGCGCTGAGAAGACTTAGTCTGCAGTGCGCTCCTCCTGGTCGGCAGGGTCTCCGAGCCTGCATTATGCTTGAGATGTGCTCCGAGGGGTGCCACGTCCCACCTTTGCATTATTTCGGATGAGCTCAGACACGGCGCTGGCAGGATCTCTCCGCAGGAACTTTTATCTACAGATTAGCTTGCCTTGTGGCCAAGGAGTTTCGGGGCTGGCTGGCTCCCTTCTCAAGTCACCTGCTCATGACTTGAATAATGAACTCCGCCGTGTCCCAGACTCATACGGGCACCTCCTGCCAGCCCTTACCCGGGGAGGCCTGGCATCAGAACTTTCTGTTCAGAACAGCTTCGTTCCTGGCCCGCTGTTCCTTAGGATCAAGATTGAGGGGGCCTGGGCCTGAGACCCACACCTTTCAGTGATTGAGAAGGGAGATGGGTCAGCTGGCTGCGGAGGGCTGGGGGGAGCCCCAAGAGGGGGATGGATCAGCTGGTTTGGTCCGAAGCGAGAAAGCAAGCACTCCTGGGCAGTGTGGCCTCGAGAAAGGCAGGTAAAGGGAGTCTGGGAACAGCGGGGACGGTTCTGCAGCCCTCACGCCCTTTCCCGGCACAGCTGCCGTTGAAGGTGGGCTTCGTTCGGGGTTCGTGGCCGCTGGGGCCTGGCCTCACCCTCTCTCTCAGGAAGAGGCTCCCCAGACATTATGGGGGCCTCGGAGAGAAGTTCACGCTGGTTCTCAGGCTTCTCAGTTTCCCAGCTGCACGACTCTCTTTGGCTCTCACTTCCTCTGTCTAAATATGTCTGCGAGTGAGTCAGGTGGCCGTGAGTTTTTTTTTCTAGGAACTGTTCCAGTTTCCCCTTTATCTTCACCTGACAGTTAATCTGCTGTTGGAGAAGAAGGCCCTTAGTCTGGAGTGGGAGGTGCCCTCAGCGGCAGCCGGGGCGTTCAGATCCTGAGGGGCTGTCTTCTCGGAAGCCCAGAGAGTTTTGTTTATTGTTTGTCTGATTGCCAAGTGCAGGCAGGTTTCACTGGAAACCGGCTACCCTGGGCTGCCATGGCAACCCGACGGTCAAATGACACTGTGGCCCCAGCAGCAAATGAGGTTGTGGAGAGCTGTGCGGGTGGGTGGGGGTGGGTGGGGCTAGAGCTACCTGACACCGCTGGCAAGGCTCCTTCGCACATTAATATTGTGGCCTGCCCTGAGTCATCGCAGAGGAGGGGGGGATACTTTATGACCTAATGCTGCACTCCCTAAGGCAGTCTACCTGCCCTGGCCTTGCTCTCGGTATTCTGGCACCTACCGGAAGCACCTGTTTTGCGGGCACGAAGCAGAGCGGTAGAACCAGGAAGGCTTGTGGTGCCATTGCCAGTCTGAGGATGAGAAGATGCTCTGGGAGGACCGGTGCACAGTCGATGAAACCCGACGCCACTAAATTGGGTGGGATCTGGAGCTGCTGTCACTGTTCCCGAATGCTCATCGCTACGGAGAGGAAACAAAAATAGATCTGGGTCACAAAATTAGAATTAGAGCGCAGAGAAGAAGGGTGGGTGAGAGGAGGGGGAGAGACAGCGAGGTCCGTGGGGGCTTAAAGAGCCTGCGCTGGTGCGAAGCAGCAGGACGAACACCAGCCCCGCGTGAGCCTTCCCGGCTTGTTTTCCTGGTATGCGCTCGGGAGGAGCAACACGGACACGTTTGTTGGTGGCTGGTTTTCAGCTGAGGCTAAGCTTCAACTTGCTCGGGTTCCGCCCCTCCCACACACCTGCCACCGTCCAGTTTGGGGTGCTGCCCCCGCAGTGCTCAGTGTCACCTGACAGGCAGCTCTTTGGAAGCCAATTCTGAAATCTCCTTTTGGCCGTGTCGGGTTTGGGTGCTGTTTTAAGTGGCTGTTGTCATGAGAGCCAGGCCCTGGATGATTCCAGGGAGAAAGCATGTAGCCCGGACACTGGGCACCTGGAGATCAGCTTACCTTGGAAGGAAGAATCCATGGTCTCTCTGTGAAAATGGACTGTGGGGTGACTGGAACTCGGTGGGGGGGGTTGTTAAACGCCACTTTGCCTTTGTCCAGGGTTGGCATTCCGCTGGACTTGATCACAGCTGCATCGTACCAATAAGTTATAACGGCGTTTAAAAATTAACGTCGGAATCGGATTAGCATTGGCATCGAAAAAATAACACCTTGGCAGGCACGCACAGAATTTTGCAGAGAACATTTCCTGAGACCATTGGTCTGGAAAGTAATGAGCTTTGTTATAATCAAGGAAATTCTATTCTATTTTTTCTAGAAAATAATGGCTCTTATTGGAGTCCTGTTGTAATAATTTTCCCTTATATATTGAATACAGGTTTCCCTTATATTCGGTATTGTTTTCCAATCTGTCCTCAGATTTGTCTTGTAAATACATCGTGGGACAGTGGTGCAAAAAGAAAAAAACTCAGGGGTACAGTAACCAAAATTATTTGAAAAATACAGTGTATTAGGAAATGAACAGCTCCAGTTGACTCTTTATTTGGTCAGAATATTTGCTGTTTGGAATGACTGCAGCCATCACTGAAATGAGATACTTCAACGGCTCTCAGTAATTTATTTTTGTTTCAGGAGCAAATGTGAATAATTTAACGAAGGAACAGTAGCATCTTAAACTTAAGCTTTTATTTGTGAATGTGAGCCTCCATTAAAATAATAATAATACATCACCTTGTTGGGGTGGGTGAGATTAGGGTCTCCGAGGCCTGCCAGGCCCACCTCATTCAGAAGCTGCTTACATCCGGCACCTTCCGTGGTCAAGGCTGGGGCTCCCTGCGCACCAGGAGGTGCCAACGCTGGAAACAGTAGCCTCCTGCCTTCAAGGATCCCAGCTATAGAGATAAAAATAGCCCCAAAAGACAGAACATTCTGGATCAGACAGCTCAAGAGACAGCGATGTGTCCTGGGGTTGATTTAGGTGGGACTCGGCCTGAGCTGCCTCTGCACCCACGGCCCTAGTGAAGCCCAAGGTCTGTCTGCAGAGACGCAGCACCAGGTCCCTTTTAGAAAGGCAGGCATGTCCTAGGAGTTCGTGACATCTGCTTCATGCTGTGCTGCTAGCATGCTTCAGCATCTTATTTTTAAAATCCCTTTTTCAAGCTCTTCACAAAGAGCTTTTTAGCGTGGTAAGAAATTCCCCTTACTCCGGTTGGTCCCCACAGGGTGGCGGTCCGCGCTTGCCCTCCGCGGGTGCGAGTCGGTCTATATTAGGAAGCGGTGCGCTGCGGCAGGAGCGGGCCGCCGCCTCCTTCCTGTCGCGTCGTCGCCGTGACGTCTCTTCCTCCGCAGCTGGAGTCTCTGACACTTTCCGTGGGGAGGGGAGGGGAGGAGGTGGAGATCGCAGGCTTCTCCCAGGGGATCGCCCCAAAATGAAGAGCAGATCGTGGCTTCGCAGGACCTGAGATGTCCTCTCACCCTCACCTCAAAGGGGCGTTCTAGAACTTTCTGTGATGGTGGCCATGCGGAGTGCCAGCAGCTGTGGAGCACTCGGGCTGTGGCTCTGCCACCAAGAAACTGAGCTTTTCATTCCAATTGATGTCAAGTGTCACACGTCTGTGTCGAACAGCTCAGTCGCAGGCTGGGAAGCTGCTGGCCCCACCGTGTCAGCTCCGAGGTGCTCACACGTGGAGTGGCCCGGGAGGGGTCACTGGGGCTGGTGGGAGCTGTGCCGAGAAAGCCGTGGAGCCACGGCAGCCTGAATCCAGGGCTCGGCCTGCCGCCGCGGATGACGAGGCCGCTGCGTAGCCACTTCACGGGTGGCTGGGGACATGGCCCCCTGCCCCGGCCCCTGCATCCACTTTTTCTGTTGGGAATGACTGGCGAAGGGGAGAAGCTCGCCGTATTGTGTGACGTGTTTGGGGACCTTGTGGGAGACGGCTGTTTGTTCACTTGGCGCGCTTGGCAGCCGAGGGTGAAGGTTTGTTTGGACTGGGCAGGCGGCAAGCACTGCCTGTCTTGGAAGAGTTAAACCCGCCGCTCCCTCCGAGGGAGGGGCTGGGAGCGTGACGGCAGTCCTGATCTTTACGTCTCCCTCTTGAGCAATCTCGGGCTTTGTGCTCATTGGCTGCTGGCTGGACTTAGGACCCAGTTTTTTTCAATTAAGTGGAAGGGCGGGGCCTGAGCAGCCAATGACAGCCGGGCCCCTGCCCATCCTGCGCAGTTTGCCGGCCGGCAGCATTGCGTTTTCCACGCTGCCAGAACCGCTCTCGCAGCCTCCGCTGAGCACCGGCTCTCAGCACCGGCTCTCTCCGCCAGCATGCTGTGCCTGTGCCTGTACGTGCCGCTCATCGGGGAGGCCCAGACCGAGTTCCAGTACTTCGAGTCCAAGGGCCTTCCCTCCGAGCTGAAGTCCATCTTCAAACTCAGTGTCTTTATCCCCTCCCAGGAGTTCTCCACCTTCCGCCAGTGGAAGCAGGTGTGTGCAGGGGCCGGGCCAGCCGGGCGGCGCCCAGAAAGGCAGCGCGTATTTCAGCAGATAGTTAGGTGAATGGATGAGTGCTGGCAGGGGGTCGCCTGTGATACGGGAGCGTTTTTTCTCCGGTTGTCGTGTGGCCGTAGCTGGTGAAAGGGCTACTTCACGGGAATGACTGGCTTTCGTGTGACTTCCAGGTCTGGAATTATAGGGTTTGAATGATAGGGAAGCCGCTTGTAGCAGAGATGGAAAGGAATTCTCTCGTTGGGGGCGGGAGAGGGTTTCCTGAGAAGGGGGTACAGTCCAGCTGCTGCGAGCTGGAGCGGGGAGGCCAGGAGGACACAGCAGGGGAGAGGCTTCTCACAGGAGGCCCAGGCGTTGGGACCTGAGCTGCAGAGGCTGGAGCTGGGCCGGCTGTGCCCTGGGTGGAACAATCCAGCGTGTGAGGTGTGGGGAGCCTCCCAGGCGCCCCTTTGGAGCAGGGAGGCGGCAGACATCATTACCATTTTAAAGATGGGGAAAGAGCTACAGACTGTGGAGGTCGCTCGCCTCCTGAAAAAGGCTGCCCCAGCGTCTCTGTTAATCCGGTCCCATGCCGTCCCCGAGCATCCGTGGGGGCAGAGGTCAGGTGGTGTGCAGTGGGTGCTGATTTGTGTGTCCTGGGAAGGAGACAGAAATAGGTCCGATGGTTCCGAAGTAGAAGCAGGGAGTGGGAGACGATTTCGAAAAATGCAGTCCTGAGCACGCCTGTATCACAGCACGCCCACCCCAGTGAGGCGTATGGTTTGCGTTGGTGGCGGGGCACGAGATACCAGAGAGCTTTATTCCTGCCATTCTCCTCCTCCCTGAACGGCACGAGAGTCTGCTTCCGCTCTTGCCACAAATCTAGAGCCCAGATGTCTTGGGAAGTTAACATAACTTCAGATAGTAGATAAAATACCAGCATCAGTCTCACATTCCAGCCACACCCTCCACATTGTTCTTGGGATCATGTTAGGTGACAGGGTGCCTGCCCAGGCCACCTCCTAGCACCCTGGGTGGCTGAGCAATCACAGGGAGCAGCCAGGTGGCCCCGAGAGCGCCCGATGGTGATCTCTGGAGAGCCAGTAGTCTGTCGGTTTCCAAGCCCACTGGTTTAAAGACTTGAAACCCATATTGGTTTGCAGATAGCGCGTGGGTTCTCACCGAGAGAACGGGCCAGCACGGGAAGATTATAACCATCTTCCTGAGGAGATTTTCGTTCCTGTTTTCAGGGTGTTGCTGGGTTAGAGTGACTCATGCGTGTCCCCCACCTTCTTGAGATTAACCTTTCGGGTGGCAGCAGGATCTCCAGGGAGGTGGCCTAGGTCCTAGTCCAACACGCCCGGCTTGAATCTCGCCCACCACTTCCCTAGCTCTGTGACCTGGGATAAATGCCTCAACCTCTCGGAGCTGCTGTCTCCTCCTCTGTGAAGTGGGGAAGCGATAGCACCTGCTCCTACAGCTTGATTGTGAGGCTTCAGCGGGTCGGTCGCCATAATGCACTTAGCAGGACCCAGGTTGGAACCTAGAGCCGCGGGGTCTCTCCCGGCCTCTCAGGACGCCGAACTAAGTGGGGCTCCCCTGCCGCTCAGCGCCTGGCTGAGGGGGCCGAGGCTGGCCGTGTCCCCAGGCTCCCCCGCAATCAGAGACCGGCGCTGCCGTCAATCACATGCCCTGAAATAGCTCCCCGTGGCTCTCACGGCTTCTCCAGCCTCGAGTTCTCTCTGGCTGTGTTTCTGCCGTGCAGGCACTGGCAGGGGCCAGCTCCGTCCCACACCTTCTCCCTGGCCACCGGACTGCTCCGGGACACCACCACGTGCGGGGAGAAAAGGAGCAAGCTGCGGAGTTCCTGAGGGGAGCTGGGGCTCCGGGGCTCTCTGGGCCGAGAGCATGTGGGCTGGGGCCCAGCGCCAGGCGCAGCGCTGCAGGGGAGCCAAGCGGCTGCCTCTGGCGGCACGAGGAGGAGCCGGCCTTCAGAACTATTGCAGTGAAAACTCGCCCAGCCTGCCACCACCGGGCTCTGCCTGAAGGGCTCCTGGGGCGGGGGAGCACCCTTTCCTCTTTGCTTGTGAGGAAGGCAAAGGTGGGCTCGCGCCTGGGTTCTGGCCAGCCCTTGGGGATCGGAGTGGTGGCTTAGGGACTCAGCAGGGGAAGCCTCTTGGGTCGTTAGGGCTCTGTTCACGGGTTAGCGCGATTGTTTCCTGCGAACGGGGCCCCACAAGGTCTAGTGCATGAGCTAAAGGACAAGGCCTTACTTTTGTTTCATAGAAAATTGTACAAGCTGGCGATAAAGACCTCGATGGGCAGCTGGACTTTGAAGAGTTCGTCCATTATCTCCAAGATCACGAGAAGAAACTGAGGCTGGTGTTCAAGAGTTTGGACAAAAAGAACGATGGTGAGCGCTGCCTCGGGACCCCCGGCCGGCCGGGGCTCGGGCGCTGCCCGGGCCCAGCTGGCGGTCACAGCCTCCGTTCTTGCAGGGCGCATCGATGCCCAGGAGATCATGCAGTCCCTGCGGGACCTGGGGGTCAAGATATCCGAACAGCAGGCAGAAAAAATTCTCAAGAGGTGCGTGCTTAGCCCGTCTGTGTAACTGGTGTAATGAAACAGCATGACGAAAGAAGCGTCCTTGCACTAACTCTGGTGTCATTCTCTGTATTGCTACTGACCCTGCTCTCTGAACTTTGGCCTCTGGTAGTTTGAAGGGATGAATGAGTAACCCCTTACCGGGTTCCAGATCAGCTCTCCTTGGGAGAACCAGTAATCACCTGGAAGTGTGCCCGATCACCAGTGACCCCGAAAGAGACCAGGGGAGGGGGAGGTTTCAAGTAGGTGAAAGGTGAGCGAGGAACACCCTTCTTCAGCTGGCCGTGAAGGGAGGAGGCTCCTGTGGCCGCCCTCCCCATAAGGCAGGCAGAACACCGTAGTCAGGCGTGCTGCCCCGAAAGGCAGGTTAGAGGGGAGCGGTGGTCCTGGGGGAGGCTGCCCAGAGTAGCCCCCGGAGCAGCTTCCTTCCCCGGCTGAGCCCCTCCACACCACTGCGACCCAGGGCCGGCTGGTCCCGGCCAGCAGCCCCCCGTGCCCGTTCCCTGGCTGCTGTGGGTGCGTCCTCGTGCTGTGCCGTGTGGCTGTCTCGCTGACGTCTGCTCCGAGCACTTACTTGTGTCGTTTCTCCTCTCTCCTCTGCATCCTCCTTTGTCTGTCTGTCAGAATACGGACGGGCCACTTCTGGGGCCCTGTCACCTAGTAAGTACCCGCGTCCCCCTGGTGACTGCCTCCCTCCCTCACCTCTGTGCCTGATGAGAATGGGGTTCTCGTGGGCCGCTGTGTGCCATCTCTGTGCAGAGTGACGTGCGGATCACCCCCCACCCCCCCAACCGTGCTTTCCCTCCTCGGCGGCCGCGGGCCTGCCCCGGGCTCACCTAGAGGAGGGCAGCGCGGCCGACGGGCAGGCGGGGCCTGTTCACACGTGGGCAACCGTGTGTCCCTCTCGCAGCATGGACAAGAATGGCACGATGACCATCGACTGGAACGAGTGGAGAGACTACCACCTTCTGCACCCCGTGGAGAACATCCCTGAGATCATCCTGTACTGGAAGCATTCCACGGTGAGCCCCTAGTTCCCACGGCCCAAAGGCGGCTTCTCCCTTGTCCGTTCACGGGGTCCCCTTCACCCAGCATCAGTCCCCATCCCGGGGGTGGGGGCTGGGGGTCCCAGCTTGCTTCCCCTGCAACAGCGAGACTGTCCACTCTTCTACTGGCCCCGAAGAGCCCTCCACACGGCCCCTCTGTCTCCCACCCTCCGGCCACCCGGACGGCCTGACTGCTCCCCAGACACGCGGGCCCTCCGCGAGAGGTGCCTGCCCACCCCCGCGGGCTGCCTGTCCTTCAAGGCTCACTTCAGACGCCCCTCCCACAGCCAGCGCGAGTGGGGCGAGGGGCGCTCTCCGGGGAACAGCTGCAGTGTTGCTGCTAGGGTCCTCTCCCCGCCACCCCGTTCTGTGTGCCGTTTCTCTCCGTGGCAAACAAACGTGTTCCCTGCTTCCCACACGTGCTGCTCCTTCTCCTCGTCAGAGCTGTCACTGCACAGAGAGGCGCCCTCACTGGTGGGGGCCGTGTTGCCCCCCTGCCCTCGGGGCCTCACTGGTAGGGGCCGTGTTGCCCCCTGCCCTCGAGCCCCGTTGGTGCGGGGTGCGGCCCTCTCTGCTGGTCTTTGCAAACACCCCCTCGGTTTTAGTGGGATCCCCCTGGGCTGTCAGCTCCGGCGGGGGAGGCCGAGGGGTCCTCCTGCTCTGTCTTCTGCAGTTCCCAGGCCAGGCCTCGCCCTCTGGGCACACCTGGCACCTTCGTCAGGTGAAAGTATGTAGACTGCTGACCCGTGGTTCTGGCTTGCAGCCCCGGGCCGGAGCAGAGCTGGCTCTGTCTGACCGGGCAGGATGCCACTCAGAAGAGAGGGCAGTACGCAGCTGAGGCGTTACATAATGTTCCGCCAGCATGATCTGGTTACGCAGCGGGCTTTGGGAGGCTTTTACCCCTGGCTGGATTGTTTCGGCGCAGCCAGCCTGGCGCCCCTCCGCCGAAATGCCGGTGCAAGCTGTTCTTACGGGAGCTCCCTGGCAGCCACGGCAGGCTGTCTGCAGGGCCTTGGGACTGCCTCCTTCCAGCTATGCTCTCACGTCCCGTGCCTGGGCCTCTCCACAGCCTGTGGCCAGGAGCAGAGCTTTGCCACCTGCAGAGCTCAGGGGGGCGGGGTGCATCGGTGTCCTATCCACAGTTCTTGGCGTTCTCAGCACCTGGGTGGCTCCTCGGGGTGTCAGCCGTTCTAGACAGCGGAACGCTATGGACCTCGCTGTCCGCCGCCAGCTTTGCCACAGGCGCCAGGACCTGTTTGTCTGATCCTGGCTGGTCTTCCTCACAGATCTTTGATGTGGGTGAGAATCTGACCGTCCCCGACGAGTTCACGGTGGAGGAGAGACAGACGGGGATGTGGTGGAGACACCTGGTGGCCGGAGGTGGGGCCGGGGCTGTGTCCAGAACCTGCACGGCACCCCTGGACCGACTCAAAGTGCTCATGCAGGTACGTGGGCGCACAGGCCCCGCGCCTCCCGGTCTCCGCCCCGGGGCTCTTTGGCGGTCGGGCTCCCGCCCTGTCTAAGGCCCTGCTTTGGGCCCATGCTTTCCTGCCCCAGTAAGTGGGTTGGAATTCCCACTCGGACAAGGGCAACGGGGGTCCAGGCCTGGGTCACCTTTTGCAGGTAGCTGATCCAGTTTTATCTGAGGCCTTCCAGTCAGGGGTCACATCGCAGGGCCACACGGTAGGCAGGTGAAGCGGCGAGAACGGGGGTGGCAGGAGCCTCTCCGTGGGCACTTCCCTCACACACGGGGAAGGTGTGAGCCCGTGCTCACCTGGCCCGGGCCCCATTGTCACGGCTGCTTGCCTGGCTCCGCGTCCCCGGGGCAGAGATAAGCCAGACCGACGTCAGGGGCAGGGTTGCGAAACCGCCCCGCATGGGTACGCGCCGTTGGACTTCAGCACCTTCTGCACAGCACCAGTGCCCCTTGTCCCCTTGTTTGTTCTGGCACTTTCCTGCTCAGAAAAGATGTCATCCTCTCCCTTCCCCCCTTGCCCTCCTGGGCCTGCCTTGCTCTGAAGCCTGTTGAGGGTGATGGGACCGCCCCTTGAAAGCGGAGTGGTTCAGGGAGAAGAGCTCTCGGCCTGGAATCTGACCCCTCCCCGGCCTGTGGCCACTGCCGTGTGACCTTGGGCAAGTCAGTTGACCCCCGAGAATTCGTTCCTCTGAGCCAAGGGGCTGGCAGCACACCGCCTCCCTTTTCTGTTGGTTTTCTTCACCACGCTCCCGGGGATGCTGCGGATGGCGAAAGCATTTTGCTTGCGTGAGATGACACATCCTGCCATGTACTCTATTTGTTTACTTTTTTAGAAGTTCTTTTTATTTTTAGGGAGAGGGGAAGGGAGAGATACATGGATCAGTTGCCACTTGCACACCCCCAACTGGGGACTTGGCCTGTAACCCAGGCATGTGTCCTGAGTGGGAATCGAACCCGTGCCCTCTTAGTTCACAGGCCTGCACTCAGTCCACTGAGCCACACCAGCCAGGGCTGTCCTGCCATATACTTTAAAGTAACCCAGCACGGGTGGGGCGGCACGGGGACACGGCTTGGCTCTGGTGTCCTGACAGCGGAAGCTGATCACGGGTTCATGGGTGCTCGTTGTATAATTCTCTGTACTGTTGCACGTGGTTGGAACTTTTCCATGATAAACAGCTCGATTTCTTTCATTTAAAAAAGTGGTCGTGGCGGAGGTGTTGAGCACAGTGTCGGCACTCGGTGGGCACATGGCGAGACCTAGCTGGCCCTGCAGTGGCCGTGTCTGAGTCTCGGGGCAGGGCCTGCCTGTCGACCTTGGGGGCTGACAGCGAGAAAAGGGCTCCTCGTCGGGTGGCGGCAGCCCCGTGGCCACCGAGTCCCTTCTGACCCTTGCCCTTGCCTCCCCAGGTCCATGCCTCCCGCAGCAACAGCATGTGCATCGTGGGCGGGTTCACCCAGATGATCCGAGAGGGGGGGGCCAAGTCACTGTGGCGTGGCAACGGCATCAATGTCCTCAAAATTGCCCCCGAGTCGGCCATCAAATTCATGGCCTATGAGCAGGTGAGGAGCCAGTTCCCCAGGGAGAGTTGCCGGTTGGCAGCCACCCGCTGAGCGTCCCCTGGGCTGAGGTCTCTGCCCCGCTGATGGCCCAGAACCTGGAGCCAGTCACCGTGTCCAGGGACAGCAGGGCGAGGTGGGCAGCGGGAGGCCTGGGTCTGACCCCAGCCCTGCTGATGTTTGCAGTGTAGGCTGGTGCCTTCTTTCCCTGGAAAACATCCCATGGGCCAGGGACACCGTGTCTCGGCTAAACCCGACCCGGGCTGTGCGGGGGGGCGGGCATGGGGGCGGGTCTCCGGGGTGCATCAGTCTGTTTACTGCCTGTTGCAGATCAAGCGTCTTGTCGGGAGTGACCAGGAGACGCTGAGGATTCACGAGAGGCTTGTGGCAGGGTCCTTGGCGGGGGCCATCGCCCAGAGCAGCATCTACCCAATGGAGGTGAGGGGCCGCCTGGGTCCTGGGCAGTGGGTGTGGGCTTGAGGGAGAGAGGGGGGCTGTGCTCACGCTGCTGTCGCTTCGGTCGGGTTCTGCAGGTTCTGAAGACCCGGATGGCCCTGCGCAAGACTGGCCAGTACTCAGGCATGCTGGACTGTGCCAGGAAGATCCTGGCCAGAGAAGGGATGGCCGCCTTCTACAAAGGCTACGTCCCCAACATGCTGGGGATCATCCCCTACGCGGGGATCGACCTGGCCGTCTACGAGGTGAGGCCCTGGAAGGCTCAGGCCCCGTGAACTGCTAGCAGAGATTCAGAAACCCCCTCCTCACCGCGTCCCCGCCTGCAGGCCGCTGGCTGGCGATGGCTGGGGCAAGCAACCAGCACCAAAGCATGTTCCCTTCAGAGTCATCCGTTCGTGACAGGGGTCTCCTGCCCCCGGCTGCCCCCAAGTGCTGCCCGCTAGGGGCTTGGCAGGCAGGTGTGCAGGGCAGAATGCCCGGCGGGGAGGGGTGCTCTCCCTGCCTCTTCTCCGTTTCCTGTCCTACCCAGGAATCCCTAGCGACAGCAGAAACAAAGGGCAGGCCGGCCAGGAGCTCAGCCAGCCCTGGCCTGCCGGCCGAGAGAATCAGGTTACAGTGGCTTCAGGACGCCATGCGATGGGGATCCAGCCTCTTCCTGCCCCCTCCCCCACCCCGGGGCTCACCCCTGCCTGCGCCCTTTCCCCTCGCAGACACTCAAGAATGCCTGGCTGCAGCGCTATGCAGTGAACAGCGCGGACCCCGGAGTGTTCGTGCTCCTGGCCTGTGGCACCATGTCCAGCACCTGTGGCCAGCTGGCCAGCTACCCACTGGCTCTCGTCAGGACCCGGATGCAGGCCCAAGGTAAGGCTGGTGCTCGGCCAGCCCCGGGGGCCCACCTCCCCGAGCAGGCTGGGATCCAGGGAGGAGCTGCCGAAAGGCCTCTGACGGGCGGCCTCTCTCCCCGCAGCCTCCATCGAGGGCGCTCCGGAGGTGACCATGAGCAGCCTCTTCAGGCAGATCCTGCGGACGGAGGGAGCCTTCGGCCTGTACCGGGGGCTGGCGCCCAACTTCATGAAGGTGATCCCAGCCGTGAGCATCAGCTACGTGGTGTACGAGAACCTGAAGATCACGCTGGGCGTGCAGTCTCGGTGACGGGAGGGAGGCCGCCCCCGCCCGACGGACTCGCGATCCTGGGCCGGCGGCCCAGGGTGTGGAGCCATCTCATTCTGTGAATGCGCCGACACTAAGCTGACTTAAGCCAAGCTGTGAGAACCCTGGGACGCGCCTGCGAGGGGTGGGGGGGCTGGCAGGCCCCCTGGGTGTGTCCTGCTGGCCGTGGCCAACCCTCGAGTCTGTCCCAGGGGACACTCAAGGGTACTCCTCGGGCCCAGGGGTCAGCAGGACACAGGCTCATGCGCAGTAGGGACAGGACATTTCCTGCAGCGCCTGCCAGACAGCAGGGCTTGGAGGCCGGCTTAGTTCTCCCACCGTTTCTTCCCACCCAGACCCTCGCCGAGGGCTCTCGCCCACTCTGCTTCTTCCTCGCTGCTGTTTTCAGCCGGGAGAAGAAGGGCTGCTAGCCCACTCCCGCGACCCGCCTCACTCCTCTGCCCTCAGTCCATGCAAGGGGACAGGTGCTTCCACCTGACGTCACCACCCTGACAGCATCGCCTGTGGCTAGGTTGCGCAGGGAAGAGGGAGGAGCCTGGCTGTGCGCTCACCCTCACCTGGGCACCGATACGTACGTGCGTGCGTGCGTGCATGTAGGGGCAAGGCCCAGCCCCGCCGCTGGCTGCCTGGTGCCCGGGTGCATGGCTTCCCGGGAGGCGTGTGCTGGTCCCGAAACCCGGAGGCTTCCTCCCGTGCTGCTTGGGTCCCCTGGTGCTCTGAGCTGGCCCGGACTCTCGCAGGACTGGCGCTGGCTCAGAGCCAGCTCTCCCCGTCCCTGTGGGGGCACGAAGGCGGCGGGGCATGGCGGTGGGGCAGGAAGGCCAGTTTCTGCCCCGAGTCCGAGTGCCCCGGTGAGAGGAGGAAGGGGGCGGGTGGCCTTAGTTACGCGTGGCTGAGAGAGGTTCTGTTCAGAAAGACCCGCTGGACAGATGCGCAAGCTCTGTGCTTGGCTGACTGCATTAAAGTCTGAGTCTGACGCCCCGGGGATCTGCGTCCGGTCCCAGAAGGGGCAAAGTGGGACCAGCCTCACATTCCACTGATGCACCTATCACACTGCGTGGAGCCTATTTATTTCGTATTTATTTGAACAGAGTTATGTCCTAACTATTTTTATAGATTTGTTTAATTAATAGCCTGTCATTTTCAAGTTCATTTTTTACTCATATTTATGTTCCTGGTTGATTGTACCTTCCCAACCCCTGAGAGGTGGGGCGAAGAGAGAAAGGGAGGCCACGGGAGCGACCCTTAGCCCGCGGCCCCCGCCACGAGAGGGAAAGGCAGGCTGCGGCGGGTCGCACCCAGGAAGCCTTAGGGTCTGAGGGTCAGATTGGGGGCGGGAGGCGTGGGCGGAGTCTCCGTTCCATGGAAGATGGAAGTCCAAGCCCTTTTCTGGACCAGAAGGATTTCTGTGTGTCCCCGTTTCTGAATGACAGGGCAGCGAGGTGCCTATCACTGTGAGTTTGAGATGGGGGTCAGAGGAGGGGGTGGCCAGCCGCCCCCCCCCCCACCCCAGAGGTGGGCTCCTCCCTCCCGGCTTCCCCCCCGCCCGCTGCCCTGCTCAGTAACGCGGCCCACCTGCGGCCGCGCCGCTGCACTTTCCACTCCTCCAGAGCGGCCGCTGCGGACAATTCAGATGGGATGCAAAGATCAATGCAAAATTCACTGTTCTATATAAATAGACTTATAACTGGAATTGGTGAAAAAGCAAATTAAGAAAGAATTGGAAGTTGTCATTAAAAACAGCCTTCTAATAAAGTTGTTTCAAAGCTGACGACAGAGCCGTGATTATTCTGATCTGGACGTAGGTGGTGTGGGGTGTTCACGTGGAAAGGGAACCCAGTCTTCTCATCACAGTCTGGGGTTCTCGGAGACGCTCCATCTGTGGAGTGTGCGTCGGGTGTGTCTGGGGTGCGCTCCGCAGGCCACCGTGCCGTCCGGTTGCTGGCTTGGTGCCCCTCAGCTCCCCTCGGACTCAACCCCTCGGGCAGAGCAGCTCACTCCCTCCTGCTGGGAGCCGCTGTGGCCGCCACCAGCGCCCGCCACCGGGCTCCCCCTGGCTGGCTTCCCCTGCCCGGGCTCCCAGGTGGTTCCTGCCCCTCTTTCTAAGGGATGTTGGAGCCCCACCTGGCTTTATTTGCTTTCTGCCTGTCGCCCAGGGCTGTGTTTGCAGCCCTAAGAACACAGTGCCCGGTGCCCAAAGAACTCAGTAAAATGCCAATAACAGCCCACGCTCCGATCCCCCGGTAGCTCTGGGTGCCACAGGTCAGGGACAGTGTGACGCAGCTCGGGGGGCCCGCCCACAGCTCTGGCATCCAGAGGCTGTAGGGAGGTGTGCCCGTGGGTGGGACTGGCAGTTCTGGGTTGCACAACGTGCTCCCCCCAGACTGGCGTCCTCTGGGAACCTCGGAACGTTGTTCTATTTGGAAATAGGGTTTTGCAGATATAGTCCAGTCGGGATGAGGTCACATGAAATTAGGTTAAATCCAATGGCTGGTGTCACAGAAGAGGGCAGCCCAGCAGCACAGACGTGGAGAACCCCACGTGATGGCAGCCCCCTCATGGGGAGGAGAGGCGAGAGCAGCTCCTCCCTCAGACCCTCTGGGAGGAGCCACACCTCCGACCCCTGGATTTCAGACTTCCAGCCTCTGCAGCCAGGACAGGAGGACTTCCTGTTGGCTTAGACCCTCCGAGTCTGTGGTGGGTTGTCAGCCACGGGAAGCTAATAGGCGGTCTGCATCTGCTGTGGTCAGGGTCACGGGCACAGATCATTTCCCGACCATTGGGTCTTGGCACACTGGTGCCCCCCAGCCTATCCCATCCTTCCATCCAGCCGGGAGAGGGGCGTCTCCAGCACAGAGTTAGCCATGGGAAGTGCCTGGAGGAGGCTGATGCTCTGAGACGCCCCCCCCACCCAGCCTGCCTCCCTACCACCCTCTCCTCCGTGCCTTCATCTCTCCCGTCTCCTCGCCTGTCGCTTCCGTACCGAGGCCTCGCCTGCCCCGCTCACAACCCAGCCCTTCGTTTGCTCGGTAGCACACTTCACGGTCAAGTCTACCGCTCGCTCTTGCTCCTCGGTTTGTCCCTGCTTCCTCCACGAGGGCCGAGTACTTGTTGGCTCTCTTCTGTTCCCGACAGGTGCCGGGCATCCACTCGGCGCTTAATGGATGCTTCCAGTCGAATGAGCCCCACCCAAGCGTCTCCTAGCGCTGTAGGCAGAAGTACACCTCTCCCGAGGGTATCTGCGTCCCGGTCCAAGAACTCGTGGAGGAGGTGACGTGGCCACGGGAGTTGAGGCTGCAGATGGAATTAAGTGGCTCATCAGCTGACCTTCAAATAGGGAGCTGAGCCTGGATGACCTGCGTGGCCCCAGAAAATCCCCAGATCTTTCTCTGTGCGGGTGAGGGAGGCGGGGAGGGAGCCCAGGGAGGTGGTGCAGGGAGTCTGCCCAAGGTCCACTGGCTTTGAAGACAGAGGAAGGGGCCACAAGTTCAGGAACGCAGGCGCCTCTCGGAGCTGGAAAAGGCCAGGAACAGATTCGCCTGGAAGGGCCGTTGGAGAGAGTCCAGAAGGCCTTGGAAACGGCTGGTCCTTAATAAGCAGTTTCATCTGCCGGGTCCCCTCCCCTTCCAGGATTCCAAACACACACAGTAATTTCCACCGAAATGCTTTCCATTCCAGCCTCCCAGTGAGGAGGTTGTTCACGGGGCTCTGGGATCTCTGGCATCTGAGGGGAAATTCCCCGCCATCCCAGAGCAGGGCGGGGGTGGGGAAGCCCCTTGTGCTGTGTGTGTGTGTGTGTCAGGGTGGGGAGGGTCTTCAATCTCACTCCTGCAGCTTGAGATGAGAGGTCGGCTCTAGTCCTGGGAGCAATGTTTAAGGAGCACCAGCTCCCAGACAGGACCTCGCTCACCCCTCAGCAGTTCTAGGAGGTAATTCTGCCACGACGGCCCCGTTCTACAGATGGGGAAACTAAGGCTCCAGGACGGGGAGGGACGTGCCTAGGACCTCGTCATGAGCAAGGCCCTCGAGTGCAGGCCCGTGGACCCCCAGCGTGCTGCACGCCTGGGGGTGAAGACGGTGGCTCCACCAGAGTGAAACAGTGCCATGGTCCACTTCTGGGGAACCTCACTGAGGGCCACCTGGTCCCTGGCCACTCTCCCAGGCTGGGAAGCCACAGAGAACCCGTGGGACAGGCCTGCGCTTTACCAGTCCTGGCACCTTGGCAGTGGGGTACTGGGCAAATCTCATGTCTCTCTGGGCCTCCTCAGTTGCCCCATGAGCAAGATGGGCCCAGTCCCTTCTCACAGCTCAGAGGGGAGGGACGCACCCGGGTTCACCCAGGGTGAATGTTGAGCTGAGACTCAAAGCGGCTTGGCCAACTGTGAGGCTATGCTCCCGGTCTGGGCCGCTGGCTGGGCTGCCCTGATCTCGCTGGTCCGATCGGGAGGGAATGTAGGGGAAGGGTGAGACCAGAGCAGCCGTGTGCTGGGCTCAGCAGCCCGGGTGTGGACCTTGGTCCCAGGTCTCCAGGGCGGGCGGGGAAGCTGGCGCAGACCAGCGAGGAGCTGTCACAGTGGCTGGTGAGGCCGGCCAGAGCTGGACGGGAAGGGGCCGGCAGGAGGAGAGGGTGGAGGGTAGGGCAGGGAGGGACCCAGAGTGAGAGAACTGAAGCCAGGCACAACCAGGGGCTGGTCCCAGTCCCCCGAGGGAGCAAGAGAGACCCAGGCCTCCTGCTCTTGGCTTCCCCGGCCGGGTCACAGAGGAGTGATCTCTTTTGGCCATTTGTTGTCCTCACCCGCCCAGCCCCGGGGGCCCAGGAGGAACGTTTATCTCCCCACAGCAGCTGTGGAGGCCGGTACGGGAGCGTTGGCCCCGCCCACACCGGCCGGAGCCTAAGCCCCACCCCCTCATTTTACAGAAGGGGACACAGCTGTGGCTGTCTCTGCCCTGGCTGCACCGGTGGATACCATTTGCATTAGTATCCTATGTCTGCTGTGAAAAAGTGTGTCTTAAAACAGGACAAAATTAATTTCACTGGGCTGAAACCGAACGTCCGCAGGGCTGGTTCCTTCTGGAGGCCGCCCGCGAGCCTGGGCTCGCGACCGCTTCCTCCCGGCTCCAGCCTCTTGCTTCCGGGGCGAGCCTCCCTCTTCGAAAGACGCTTGTGGTTCCACTGCGAGCCCACCTGGGTAGTTCAGAAAACTCGCCATCTCAAAACCATGAATGTAATCCCATCTGCAAAGCCCCTTTTTACCACATCAGGTAATTGTCACCCATGCCGGGGGCCATTATGCAGCACATTACCCCTCCTGTTCCCTGGCAGCCACTTCTGCCCGACAAATCCTCCCCCGCTCCACTGGTTAAGCACACCAGGGTCAGTCATCCGAGGGGACGCTGCGCAATCCTCAGTGCGGGCGAGGGAGGACAGTGTCTCCCCTGGAACTGAGCGGCTCCTGCGTGACCTGCACTTCCATGGAAAATAAAGAAAACCTCATCTGGAGAGAGAGGAGCCATGCGGCCCCGTGGTAAGGATCAGACTCCAGCCAGGAGGTTCGGCCGACATCCTGCCTCTGCCACTTACCAGCTGTGCGACAGCAGGGGACTCACTTAACCTTCACAGTGCCTCAGTCTCATCTGTAACATGTTTGTACCTACTTCATAGGGACGTTGTAAGACTTGCCATCAAATAGGCCCCATATAACTGTTAGATGTACATATATATTTATTACATATAAAGTATAAATACATATGTGCACTACATATAAACTAGGTAAAAAAGTAGAAGGCTGTACTCCCAAAAAATGCAAGTGGGTATCTCTGGGTGGTGGCACAGTACTAGCCGGTATCCTCTTTCTGCTTATCTGCTGGTTCTACTCATGTGCAAAAGATGTTATTTGAATAATCAAGGTGAAATTGAACACTCTAACAAACAAAAGTGAACCAGAATCCTCACAATCTGTTGAGCCCTAGGCTGTGGCTCACCACCACCGCCCCCCCCACCAACTCCCAGGGAGGAGGGATCGGCCACGCTCACCCCTCTCGTCCCTCTCGCTCCTGACCATGAGCTCCGGGAACCTGGGAGGGGACAGAGTGGGGACTGTGTTCTATGAACAGGCAGCAGACCCACTGGCTGCGTAAACGTGCCCCTCACATGTTGCCTGCTGGGTGCATCGACTCTGATGGCACCAGCCCCATGGAAGTTGACTGGCCTCCAAGGGCTTGTCTGAGGGCTGGCAAGGATGGGGCTTGCCCAAGGTCACGTGAGCAGTGTTCCTACCTCAGGCCTCCTGCTACCATCAAGGCCACAGGGGACCTAAGCATGACCGAGATCCGGCAGGAGTTCCTAGCTTGAGGCCTTCTCCCCTGGGAGGTGTGGCTTTTCCTACCTGACATGAGGACTTCATACCCATGCGTGCTAAACCCATTTTACAGATGGGCACCGAGTCCCTGTAATGACTTCCCAGAGAAGACGCAATCCTAGAGTTGGCCAAAAGGTGGCAGCACCAGACCTCGTTTTCATCTCCTACCCGGCCTTCGCATCCTCTACCGCCCTCTGGTGGTCATAAGAACACAACTGGCCAATGCCTCACCCAAAGCCACCCTACACCCCCTCCACCCTGCCCAGCACCCACAAACCTCACTGCACCACCATGAGGGGGCAGAACTTTTTTCTTTATTTCAAACAAAACAGTCCAGAAGTGCTTGGGAAGAACAGGAACCACGAGGAGCCAAGGATGGGGTTCTCCCCTAACCCAAGGCGTCCCTGCTTCC